TATTATGCAGTTAGGTAATTGTACACTCCAAACTCGAACGTGGTTTTAGAAAGGCTGTATATACTTGTCTTTTTTATTTAGCGCCTTATTTGCTGCACAAGTGCCACTGTATGCTTTTTAATTCATTGCATGTTTATCTGTCTCTGGCTCTACAGCCCTTGCTGGACATTGGCCGCTTTTTTAGTTTCGTAATTCTGTACAGGGCCACTACATACAAAGAGAATAAATGCACACAGACATCCATGCGTTGAGTGGGATTTGAAACCACGATCCAGCGTTCGAGAGAGCGAAGACGGTTCATGCCTTACACCGCGCGGCCACTGCGACCGGAGTGTGTGTATAGTTTACATAAACAAAAATATCAGAAGAAAAGCAAATGACAATAATCTCGTCTCTGAGCTTCCTTGTACGCTTCTTGCGATAGCAGAGACCTACTATTGCCCGCTTCTAAATAAAATATTTTAAGGGTTAATAAGCTAAACGTGACAACAAGAGCTCACTGCTTCAGAATGTTTCCAGGGCGCCGGATGTCATCTTATTTGTTCTAAAAATATTAATAATTGATTCCAAGGCCAATAAACACAGACAGAGAATTCGCTATTTTGTTATTTCAGTCCTCAATGCCAGTTTATATAAGAGCCCTCTGTAGGCCCTATTGGAAAATAATTTCGAAAATCACCCATTAGTTGTACGCCTCTTCATCCATCTGTCCGCAAGGATCAGCACATAAATAATCCGACTGATCTCGACGAAACTTGTTATGGTAGAATTACATTAAATTTTATAGAATCATTTCATTTTGGTTTATTTTTGTTCAGCTTAAGGGCCACTTTAGCCGGTCACGGTAGCCGAGTGGTCTAAGGCATGCACTGTCTTCGCTCGCTCGGAAGCCGGGATCGTGGGTTCGAATTCCACTCAAAGCATGGATGTTTGTGTGCGTTTTTCTGTGTTTATCGATAGGTAGAGGCCTTGCGACGAGCTGATCACTCGCCCAAGGAGTCCTACCGAATGTGTAAGATCTAGTAAACCGAAGTGAAACGGAGAGTTTCATGGAGGTAGGCCTAGGCCCAAATTGGGGCTGTAGCGCCATAGAAAAAAAGGGCCTCTTTATAGAAAGGCTGAAATAAAGCTTTTTACTTAGCGTTAAGAGTTCTTCGACTGATTTTAATGAAAGGTTGTATGTGTAGCACTTCTGTAAAACGAGTTTTACCACGTGAAAGTATATAATTTTACTTATTTCAAGACCAATATTACTTAAGGGTTAAAATGTCTAGTTAAGGACTCACCGGAGAGAAAATGTCTCAAGTAAAACTTTGGAGATATTCACAAAATATCATTCTGTATCCCAGTTCGTTGTCGCGCACGCGTCGACTCTAGGTGCCCCACAGGTAAAAATGCAGAGGATTCAAGTCCGGCGAGCGTGGAGGCCATGCAGTGTGTCCTCCTTGACCTATCCGTCGGTCATGACTAGGGCCCGGATCTTTATGCGCTAAAAACACTTAAAATATGCGATAAAAGCGGGAAAATATGCACCAAAAATTAAACAATATGCACTTAAGAAACAGGTCACTTTATTCAGACTCACCTATTTACATGTATCATTCACTGCAGAAAGTAGCATCACAATGGGCAACTGGAAGTCTTTCAGTGTTTTCTGGAGATAAACTGCGTCTATAGTCCGTCAAAATGAGTTTATAGGCTGAGAATGATCTTTCTACATCAACTGACGTATTGGACAGTATTTATACACTGGCGCCGAAGGTTCGGAACATTCATTTGGCAACGATACCCTAATTCCACTGAAGTACTGACTAATTGACTGAATCGTTTTTAGTCCTGGGTTCGATTTCAACACATTTTCTAAAGTGAATTTAATCTTCTCTCCAATTTCGCCTGGAGCGGAATTCAGTGAACAAGTTGCTTTCTGAACGAGTTGAAGTGAGTCGTGAAGGAGTACACCACAATATTCTAAGCTCTCAGTGGCTTTTTGAAACTGTAGGAAAGTGTGCATGGATAAAATTCACATCTTGATAAACAGTATCACTTCCAAACACCACTTTTGCTTCACGGATACATGCATACTCATCTTCAAGTTTCGTAACAACTTCTTTTACTTGATTGAAATTCTCCTGATAAAATGAAACTGCGGATATCCATGTCCCCCACCTAGTTAGGACAGGTTCAGGTGGCAGAGGAACCTGAGGTAGGCAATCTTTGTAGAACTGGACACGAGCTGGTGCTTTCAGAAACAGTTTTTTTTCGCACTTGCAATTAAATCGTTAACAGCTGGAAACTGTGTGGGTATTTTTTCTGCAATACGGTGTCATCCGTGTATAAGATTAGGTTAAAGTACTTGTAAGGCCTTTGCTGCTTTCAACATATAGGAAGCTGCATCTGTGAGTAATACAAGCACCTTACAACAATTATTATCATTTTCAGATGACCTTAGTAGTCGCAGAGAATCATTTACAACTCTTGCTACTGTGCTATGGTTGCTTTTCTCTAGTACTTTGCAAGCAAGAAGATGAGGGTTGCCGGGTTCGTCTCGATGTAGCTTACCAAATACGAAATTTGCTATGTATCGGCCACATAAATCGGTTGTCTCATCCACCGGTATCCAGACACAGTTCCCTCCGATGTCAGAACGGATTGACTCCAGAATAGATTCATACAGCAAAGGTAGATATTTTTTTCTAAGAGTTGATTCATCTGGGATTTTTTTAATTACACAATATTTCTCCAGAAACGATAGCAGAACTGGATTGCTGAATTTATTCCATGGAATGTTGCTGCATGCTAAAGCCTCACAAAGATCGGCTGAAAATGTATTAACAGAGGACTTGGGTTTGACCTGTGTAAGAAGTAGCTGTTGTGGTGAGCTGTTATTTATCCCCTTCTTTGCCGCAATATGTGCAGTCGTTCTTGAGTGTTGTTCAAGTTGAAATTTCTTTTCACATTTTACTTCCTTTGCGCAAACTTGACAGTACACGACGACACCGTCTGTTGAATAATCACTATATAACCGTCCTCCTCGTCGGGCCCTTTACGTTGTGCGCCACACTTTCTCTTCGTAACCGCCCTGTCTGTAAACCGTTGCGACGTCTTCGTCGGAAGCGCCTCTTCTTCAACTGCTCTCCTCACCCTCTTCTTCTGCTTCTTGTTGATGACTCCACCTACCTTTTTTTTTTATTTCTTCTTAATTTATTTTCTCAGGGTTAGGATTAAACTTCTCAGGGTTGGTAGGATTAAGTTTCTCAGGGTTGATATGATTAGCAAGGGTGAGGTTGTTGGGAGCGGTAGAGCTGAGTTCTCTGTCTCAAGGTCTTAACGGGCCACACTTAGAAAGGCAGGTAGGACACTTTTATGCAACATCACCACACTTGAATTTCAGAGGTATTATTATTACTCTTGATCAATTGCGACACTTTCATTTTACAATTTAGCAAACACTTGTTACGGTCGGATTCTTTGCTACCTTCTAAATTTAGCTCGTCCTGTTTAATACTATTATTATACTTCTAACCGTGGTTTCACACTTCACAACAGATTATTACACTTTATCATTACAGCTTGTTACTACAAAGTTATTTCTGATCTAGATAGCCCCGTATGTGACTTCACGTCTGGTCCTTTCGACCCCCGGTTTCCTACTTCACGTCTGGTCCTTTCGACCCCCAGTTTCCGACTGACTCTAAAACTGACGCTTCCTCGGACATTCAATTCCTGGCTTTCACCAGCGTCCTTGTTCTGTCACACACTCAAATTTCCGTGATTGGCCCCACGCCCAACCCCCCAAGCTGGAGGACCACCCCTTGTCGGCTGTTCGCGACTGCTTATTCAATATATCCATCCGCAACCTGAGGACGCGCCATGCCGTGGTGACAGGGATCCACATAACATGAAGCTTCATAATTTGTACTCTTCTCCAAGTATAATTAGAATGATCAATTCAAGGAGGATGAGGTGGGCAGGACATGTAGCACGAATGGGGGAGAAGAGGAATGCATATAGGATATTGGTTGGAAAGCCAGAAGGAAAGAGACCACTGGTAAGACCAAGGCTTAGGTGGGTGGACAAAATTAAATGTATCTTAGAGGGATAGGATTGAATGGTAGAGATTGGATTAATCTGGCTCATGATAGGGACCAGTGGAGGGCTCTTGTAAACGCGGTAATAAACCTTCGGGTTCCAAAAAATGCTGGGAAATTCTTGAGTAGCTGCATAATTGGCGTCTCTTCAAGAAGGGCTCAGCTCCCTGAGTAAGTAAGTAAGCGACAGGTTACCTATGAAACTGTATATTAAGTTACTTGGATTGTTACGAGTGTTGCTGATTTTTTAAATATCTGTAATATGTATTTATACAGAGTTAATTTTTTTTATTACCAATTCAATAAGAATAAGAAAGTGTTGAATGCAAAGTAACAAAACTTTACAGGCAGTTTCATAGTTGGCACAACTTCCATCAGAGGACAGTACATATATCTGTTTTCTCATACTGGAGAGTAGTAAAAATACTAAAATAGTCGCGATAATATATTTAAATTTCAGTCCAAAATATTGCGACATTTCTCTGATATATGGAACGGAATTCTTAATTCAATTTCCGCACTTGTTTTGAATGTCACATACATACATTTTATAGGTTACTTAAATAAAATACATAGTGCAAACACATTTTGTTTCCATCCTCACATACTCATTATTGGCGCCATTTTGCATTCCGCACAGAAATATCGCTTATTTGTAAATTCTTTTTTGCATCCCGTAAACAGATTGGATGTAAAAGTTAAAAAGAATGCCAATTTTCAGCTTTTCAGGTTCCCCGTTAACACACAAAACCTACACACGGTTTATTCGTATAATGTTCCCCTCGCTGAATCCATATTACATGCGAAAAGAAACAATCTGTCAGGCCATGTAAGCGTTCTTCGTTCCCTCGCAGCCCGAAACTGTCGGACATTGTGAAATTGATTTCTCTCTCTCCGACATACTGACTCGCTTCACCCTCCTTGCCAACTGACCTCGCAGAGTACGGGCGGGCGTCATCTGTTACAACGTGCGACTGCGCAACAGCTGCTCATTCACCAAACCCTACAACTGCTTCAGTTCCCAAGATAGCGCCTCAGTACACATCTTTTGGTGGCAAAGGTAGTGTGTGCCGACTTGTTCCACGGCTGTTTACTGTAGCAGCATCAGCAAGCATGTGAGTCTTCATCACATTTTGGGTTAAATTTACTGCAATGATGGTTATTACAGCGCGGACTTCAGTGTCATGACCGGTGAAAGTAAAAAAGTCTGTAACGTATTGAAACATGAAGGTTTGGCTCCCGTGGATGTGAAGGTTACCTCTGATGGCAGAGTCATTGTTAACTGGTTATGTAGCCATACCTGATTATTTGAAATCGGTTATAATTTTGTGTATTATTTACTGTTAGACCCATACATTTGCCCACGGGCTCGACAGAGCACTACGGTGTGAAGTTGTTTGGGGAGTGGAGGCAGATTTTCATGCGTTTGTAACTTCGGTTCAACACGAAAGTGAATGATCGGCTTCACACCCCAACAGTTTTACACACGGGGGAACAGCCACGGTATCCTTTGGGCCCCACAGTCTTTCTGAACGCGGTGGCAAAGAGGGATATCCCTGCGAGGACTCGAACTCCCTATATCCATTCGGAAGACAGTCACGTTACTAACTGCGTCACACCGATTCTTTTAGAACTGAAATTGTTTGGCGTAATCGTGTTTAGACAACATGAACAGTGTACTTAATTTGACAAGACCACACATCAAAGTCAATCAGGCAAGAAAGTTCGGTGTAAAGGCGATTTATCTCGTTAATAGCTTTGAAAGGCATAACTCCAGGACTAAATGAGGGGATATCTGTACTGTCTCCATATTGCATGCTTTCAGTCTGGCAATTCGACAAGAAAGATGAAGCGCCCGTACAGTAGAGACTGCCACTGTACAGCCACGATAGATGCAGCGAGGGCAAGTCGTTTTGTGTCAAGTGGTTTGAATATCAGGGGGTACATTTTTTTTCCCCCCAGTCAATAACTGTGATCCTTGAACGTTTGGAGGTTTTTTTTTTAATATTGTAACATAGATTAATTGGCGGTAGAATCCGAGAAATTCACGGTATGATTTTTTATGTTGTACATTTGTACATTGTGAGCCGGGATAGCGCAGTCAGTATAGCGACTGGCTAGGGGCTGGACGTGAGAAGCCGGGATAGCTCAGTCGGTACAGCGACTGGCTAGGGGCTGGACGTGAGGAGCCGGGATAGCGCAGTCGGTATAGCGACTGGCTACGGGCTGGACGTGAGGAGCCGGGATAGCTTAGTCGGTACAGCGACTGGCTACGGGCTGGACGTGAGGAGCCGGGGTCGCTCAGTATAGCGACTGGCTAGGG